TAGATGATTGATGAAGTTGGAGATTGTCATTTTAGGTAACTTGTCAGTTTTTACTCGAGACTCTAAATGACTTGGGACCTATTTTTACTATATAGTGTTTGGACTATTACAGTTTTAACAGAAGTATGGTAAAACTATTTAAATAGCTGGTAAACTATGGCATTCAACACAAGGTTGTTTGCTTTGTTTAATTCCCCAATCGAAGCTTTGCACATGGTTACCATACATGTTAATAATATACTCTGCTTCAGCAAGCTGGTTTATGTTCAACCAACAAATAGCTTCTCAATGGAATCTTCAATTTTCTTGTCTTTCTTACTGCACTTATCTTCTTGTTTCCCTTGTGACCTCTTGAGAACATCGACTTCTGACAGACTCAGGGTGAACAAAAGCCAATTTTAGTCCTTACTAGCAACAAACTTAATGATATCTCACCTACCACTTCTAGTTCAGCAACGTCTGGTGCCAGATCTTTGTTAACCCTTTTCTTATGAACTAATCTTAGAATCAATCTTGCTTTTGAATCTTCTGGAACAATCCAGCTTTGGTACAATTTGTTGGAAAAGTCTAGCACAATTGAAGTCTAAATATCACATTAGGAGATCTAATAGGCAATGCCTAAATAATATTTAACTTACATAACATTTATGAGAACAAAATGATCTACATAAGTCCCTTACTCTATAAACAGCCAACTGGATACACCGAATATTGGGTATAGTCACTCGAAACATGTATGATTATTCACCAACTGATGATAGCAAGTTAAATTTGCTTAACATAATGCTACCTTTTATGATGAAATTTCTCAGTAACATTTACATGATATTGTTCTTTTCAGATTCAGTGCTCCCATTTTGTATTATGATTAATGAGCACTGTCTTTGACTTCTCGTTAGTGGTAAGTGATTTTTCAACAATTTCTCCCTTTATATAATGAGAATTGTCTCTCACGCTTTGAATTGATCAAGCTCGTGTCATACTAATGCGCTGCGTCTATTCACTTTCAGGCAACACTGCATCGACGGGGAAAAGAAATTAGGAGTCCAACCCTTTTGCACTAGCTTTATCTTTGGAATGTCGACCCATGATGATGTATTAGTAATTGGAAGCAAGCTAGTTTTGCTTAGGAGCGAAAAAATTCTAGTCATTGCTGTTCATTAATGTTGTTTTAGTTTCTTTCTTTTTTAGTTACTTTGTACTACAGAACTTGTTTTGCGATGGTATTATTTTAGTTCTTTCTTTCTTTTTTAGTTACTTTGTACTACAAAACTTGTTCTGCGATGGTACTCACGCAGTGAGAGTGGGAAGAAAAGAGATTTTGGCGTAGTGTTGGAAATCGTCTTTATTATCATTTTTCTGTCTTGTGCATATGAAAAGAAAAAATTCATCTGATGATTCGGTTCTGTATTTGCGGCAAGTTCACAATTCCAATCTATCTGCGCGAAAGCGAAAAAAAATAAAAATGAAACCCGACCCGACCCGGGTCTTGGGGTGTACGGTGAACAGGGTCTCGGGTGGGTCTAGGCGGGTCAAGCATGACCCTATAGGTTTCGGGTCGGGTCGGGTATCAAGAAAGCCCGACCCATTGACACCTCTACTAGCCAGGCGCCCCCCAAAAAAAAAAGAATAAAGAAATTCGAAAAAGTCATTAAATATCTCCCTCTTTAGAAAATTCAGATTCTTGTGGCCGCTGTGTCTGTGCACCTCATAAAGTATATATATCCTAGAAATGAATGAAATTCGACCAAAAAAAATATATTTTATGTACCAAATTTGGCTGCCTTGCTCTATTACACACTAATGCAAATCAAAGTGATATCCCTCGTGCGCATAGAAAAAAGGATGTCATTTTCAACGAGGCATTTAATGTAGCATAAAGTTTGGGTCATTTTCCAAAGGATTGAGCAAAGGGCTAGCTGGCACTTGCTCCGAGTAAATTTCCTTCTTAAAAATTGATTTGCTAATTGGGGAGTTTTTCTTTTTCTTTGTAAATTTGGCATTGCATAATGTTATGTTTGGAAGTGTGAACTTTTCACAGCTGTGAAAAGCTTATGAATCCACCCCTCCGAAGTTGAACCTGCTAAAAAAAGTAACACGATGTGAATTTGAGTACAATTACAGCTACAGAGGTGCTAAGGAATCTCAAGAATCTTCTAAACAATTTATTTCACTTTTTTAGTCACAGTTTAATATACACACCTGGTAATTTAAATTCCAAGCCCATTGTGGAGCACGAATGAGATGTCATTTTTTATTCGGGGAATATATAATTCCAATCCACTTCGGGCAAAAGAGGAATGCTAAACTTGGTCAGGATCAGAGGTGATCGGTTCTCGACCTAGAATTGAGATCCGACCTTGTGGTTCTCGATTCCAATTACGAAATTGGGAGCAGAATTGGTCGGTTTGGGTAGACCCAACTATTATTCTGTGTAAAATACCAACTTTTTATGATAAAATGTAAAAATTGCACCATTTTACTATAAAAACATATGGTGATCATGTAATTACCGTTTATTAGGAAAGTGAAATCCATTGTTACCAATGCATTTATGTCAACCAAATCGCTTCATTATCTTCCTAGTGCTAGCTTCCTCAAACAAATGCTACAAAAGGAAAAAGAGAGAGGATAATTTGAGCATGTTCCAACCACTCTCTCCATAAAAGCAAAGATTTCCAAAACTCGGAATTACATTGGAAGGCTTGAAATTTAATGGACTACTAATCTTCTGGGGTTTCTCTGAGCAACCATTTCGACATTACGAGCTCTTGTTACTCTCTTAAGTCGGTTCTCATGCTATTTGACAAGGCTCCGAGCTTCAAAGGAGAGAGACACGGAAGCAATCTTTAGCTCCCATGAAGCATGTTCATAATCAAGGCTATTGAAAATGGTAGAGAATGGTTGAACATACAAAATGTTCTACTAAAATGTGAATTAACGTTTCAATATTTAAGTGTGATGAAAATTTTCAGAAGTTTCAAATTTAAAAAGGTAATAAAGTCTGTGAATCACGAATTCTAAAATTAAATAAAACGAAGTAAAAAAGAAAAGTCACTTTGAACATGTTCCAGAAGCGAGAAACAAAAATTTAAAAAATAAGAAGAAGAAGAAGAGGAAGATGAAAAGTGGGAACACGATCGAGACAACCGGAAGTGACGCAATCATGACGACTCACTCTGCACCAATTCTTTTGTACTCTTGCTTCTCCGTGCCCTCTTTGTCCCGAACACATGAAGCTGCCGAATTATTTCATTGACCTCTCCGACAAAAGGAAGTGACGTGCCAAAAAAGGAAAGATTCTTTTGGTTCTGGAAAGTTTTCAAATTCTGATTTTCTCGGAAAATAAAAGAGATCATGGAAAAATAAAACTGGGTTTGACAACCAAGGAAAAAACTAAAAAGAGAAAGGGAAAATGATACAAACAGTCCATGAACTTTTAATTTGTCAATGTAGTCCTGAATTTTGGTCCAATATGCAATGTGGTCCTTGAACTTTTAATATGTTCAATATCGTCCCTGAACTTTTAGATACATGTTCAATTTAGTCTTTGAACTATATGAAAATGTTCAATGTAGTCCTTCCACTAAATTCAAGTTTATGGACTATATTGAACATTTTTCATAGAGTTCATGGACTAAATTGAACATGTATCTAAAAGTTCAGGGACGATATTGAACATATTAAAAGTTCAAGGACCACATTACACATTGGACAAAAGTTCAGGGACCATATTGAATAAATTAAAATTTTAGGAACCACATTGTATATTAGGTCAAAGTTTAAGAATCGTTTGAGTCAGTATCCCAAAGAGAAAATCGTAGCGGGGTTGACAGGAGACGTTGGGCCGCGAGTCTTTAACCGAGAGAGAGCAACCTGTGTGCCATATTCTGCTGGTTGGACAAGCAATTTGGGAGTGGAGGAGTTGTTGGTAAGACACTGCGGATCAGGATCGCAGAGAGTAAAGACGACTCTTGCACCAAAGTGTCTGCACTTACACTTCTCTCGAGATCAAGGAAGGACAGTAGTACTCACTTGTCAGCTGACTTTTTTGAGAAGCTTCAAGTGAGATAATGCCTCTCATGCCTCTCTCTCTCTCTCTCTCTCGATCTCTCTCACTCTCTCGATCACGCGCACGCATCTCTGTGCCATTCTGCCTTTAGCTGCTTACGTCTTTATGGTGGGCCTATATGGAGGAACAGTGTCGGAGGCGGAGGCAGAGCAAAAGTTTTATTTTTTCGCCTCCTTTTGCATGATCAAGATTCTTGCAAAAGAGGAGGCAGAGCGAAAAAATGAAAAAAGAGTAAATTTTGTTCTTTTGTGCTGGTTCAGATCAAAGGTGGTTTTGGCACAAATCTGATGAATTCATCATGTTAACCTTTCTTCATGTCTATGTCTTGTGAACGGTCTTTGGAAATGCTGGTCCATTTGCTGATTTCTCGTACGGGTTTTTTGACAAATTCTGCTTTGTGAGGCTTCTTGTGCACCCTTCAGTTTCTTGTGTGTCCATTTGCGTTCGCACACGCGCGCACAATAAATTTACACAAGTCATTATTCTAATTAATTTTTCTAAGGGTGCTCAACCGATGAGATAAAACTCTTCGAAGTACAGTCCCCTCGATCAGCGGTCTTTGATCTTTGATCTCTGTAACTTTGACTTTTATGGTTGAAAGAATGTCTCGTATCTTGATTGCTTAATAGCTAATCCATTCAAATCCCACGAGAAGATGCTCATGGTATATTTCTCGGATGATTGTTCAGAGTAGCTTTGTCTTTAGTTGCTTATAGATTTGAGAAAATTGACTGCAGTACAGTTTCTTTTTAATTGATCAATTTGTGCTCAACCGTCTTTCAACTATGTCTTTCACAGCTTGCCCGATAATTGGACTCCTTTGGCTTGAAATATAAATTGCTGATTCTAGATGTTCACTGTTGCAGCCCCCCAGACAATTCTGTTTACTTATATACAGAATTAATAAGTTGCATAAGAGATCTGTGTCCCGGGTACGGTAGCATGGCCATAAAAAATGGAACAACTGAAGATTCAAGAACCAATGAAGCCGCCACATCAAGGAGTCTCGAGGTGGTGGCGGCAGGGAGCCCCGCCGTAAATGAGAAGCAGGACTCCAACAAGAGCAAGGGAGATGAGAAAGTGAACACGGTTCCATTCCACAAGCTGTTCTCATTTGCGGATTCTACTGATATACTATTGATGGTTGTTGGGTCGATAGGCGCAGTCGGGAATGGCCTTTCTCTGCCCCTTATGACCCAATTGTTCGGAGAGCTGATCGATACGTTCGGCAACAACCAGGGTGACAGCGATGTTGCAGATCTTGTGTCCAAGGTAAAAGCTTTGCAAATATGGACTTGGTGGATTGTCACAGAGAAACTCTTTTCTTGAAAAGGAAATTTCTTTTGGAGTGCTTGTGTTGTGATTGTGAATTAACTGATTAGATTGTTTGTGAAACCTTCAGATAGCTCTGAAGTTTGTCTACCTGGCACTCGGGTGTGGAGCAGCAGCCTTTCTTCGTGAGTGCATCTTGAGTCTTGACTTACTTTTAGTTCAGAGTCGAACTCTTCATCTTAGGAAATGAGAAAATTTAATCTTCGTTCTTCCTTTCATTTGGTCAGTGGTGTCTTGCTGGATGGTCACCGGCGAGCGACAGGCTGCGAGAATAAGGGGCCTGTATTTGCAAACTATATTGAGACAAGATGTCGCCTTCTTTGACAAAGAGACTAACACCGGAGAGGTCGTCGGGAGAATGTCGGGCGACACAATCCTCATCCAGAATGCCATGGGTGAAAAGGTCATACTTTCCTTTTACTGGCATAACAATTGTGTCAAGAATTGAGTATTTTGTCTGGTGTACTTAGTATACACTTTTCCATCCTGGTTTTTGACGGATTGCTAGATTCGTGCAGGTGGGGAAGTTCATACAGCTTGCGTCGACATTTGTCGGAGGTTTCGTGATAGCATTTACCAAGGGGTGGCTATTGACCCTGGTCATGCTAATCATGATTCCTCTGCTAGTGATTGCGGGTGGAGTTAGGTCCCTCATCATTTCAAAGGAGGCATCTCGCGGGCAAAGTGCGTATGCGAAGGCAGCAAATGTTGTTGAACGGACTATTGGTTCAATCGGAATGGTATGTTGCATTGACGTAGCTGAATTCACAGAATTGTGCATGTGTGCCAACTAAATAGACATATTCCAAGAACAGAACAGATGTCTTGATGTCTTTTGCTCTAAAACTCATTTTCAGCCATAACTCTAATCATTTACTGCAGAGTCCGACTATTATCACATTTTGGTGCAGGTTGCATCGTTTACCGGAGAGAAGCGAGCCATTGCAAATTACAGCAAATCCCTTGTGGATGCATACAGATCAGGTGTCCATGAAGGTCTGGCGACTGGATTAGGTCTTGGATCAGTCATGCTAATCACCTTTGGCGGTTATGCTTTGGCAATATGGTACGGCGCGAAGTTGATATTAGACAAGGGATATAATGGGGGCACAGTGATTAATGTGATCATGGCAGTCTTGACTGGTTCTATGTGAGTTGCACCCCAACTCTCCTTTTTCTTTTTGGTCTCAGTTCTCTTGGTTCAATTCCTTGTTAAACCCTAGAGAAATTTCGAAAGCCTAATCATGGATTTTCTTTCTTTTTCCCCTCATTTTTTGGGGCATGGTGCGGTTGTTCATTAGGTCTCTTGGGCAAGCTTCTCCATGCGTGAGTGCATTTGCTGATGGTCAAGCTGCTGCATATAAGATGTTCGAGATCATCCACAGGAAGCCGGAGATTGATTCTTTTGATACCAAGGGAAAGAAACTAGACGACATTCATGGAGATATAGAGTTGAGGGATGTTTATTTCAGTTACCCAGCCAGGCCCAATGAACAAATATTCAATGGGTTCTCTCTTAGCATCCCGAGGGGTACAACTGCCGCTTTGGTGGGTCAAAGTGGAAGCGGGAAGTCCACAGTGATCAGTCTGATAGAGAGGTTCTACGATCCACAAGCCGGTGAAGTACTTATTGATGGGATCAACCTTAAAGAGTTTCAGCTCAAATGGATCAGGAGCAAAATCGGGCTTGTCAGCCAGGAGCCCGTGCTATTCATGTGCAGCATCAAGGACAATATTGAATATGGAAAGGAAGGCGCCACACTTGAAGGGATCAAAGCTGCTGCAGAACTTGCGAATGCTGCCAAGTTCATAGACAAGTTGCCGCAGGTATAAAGATTATGCTACTCCAAGATCGATGAATCAGCTTTTTTCTTTTCTCTGGCCATACTATAATCGTCTTTTCTCGCCTTCTCGATCTTACTACTTCATGATTTTTGGACTTTTGACATTTAGGGCTTGGACACTATGATTGGTGAACATGGGACTCAGTTTTCTGGTGGGCAGAAGCAAAGAGTAGCCATAGCAAGAGCGATTCTTAAAGATCCTCGTATTTTGCTCCTGGATGAAGCCACAAGTGCACTTGACGTGGAATCTGAGAGGATAGTCCAAGAGGCCTTGGACAGGATTATGGGCAACCGGACAACTGTCATTGTTGCCCACCGTATGAGCACTGTTAGGAATGCAGATATGATCGCTGTTATTCATCGCGGAAAAATGGTGGAGAAAGGTAGGTCGCAATCTAACTTGAATTAAACAATGAAACTGTGAATTCTAGCGAAGCAACTATTATTCCTAGTATGTACAAGTATATCGTGACTATTGATGTCTCTCTAAAACTGTCTAGGTTCACACTCTGAACTGCTCAAAGATCCAGATGGTGCATATGCTCAACTAACACGCTTGCAGGAAGTGAGCAGAGAATCTGAACAAGCGCTAGATGCCCAAAACAGGTCAGAGATCACTGAATATAACAGACAATCCAGTCAGAGGATGTCGTACGAACAATCCATTAGTCAGGGATCACCTATAGGAAATAGCAGCAATGACCAAAACAGGTCAGAGATCACTGAATATAACAGACAGTCCAGTCAAAGGATGTTCTACAAACAATCCATTAGGCGGGGAAATAGCAGCAGCCACTCGCTCTCAGTCTCCTTTGGGACCGTGGCTGGACCACAATCCCCTGCTCCTCCTGGGAGCACAGAAAAACCGCCAAAGGTCTCACTATGCCGGCTTGCTCGTCTCAACAAACCAGAAGTTCCTGTCTTGCTATTTGGAACTGTCGCTGCAGTTGCTAATGGCTTGATATTTCCGATTTTCGGCATACTTATATCCAGTGTTATCAAGACATTCTATGAACCACCGCATGAACTTAGAAAGGATTCTGAGTTTTGGGCATTGATGTTTCTGGTCCTTGGCATTGCATCATTCGTGGCATATTCGGCTCCAGCATACTTATTCTCTGTCGCTGGCTGTAAGTTAATCGAGAGAATCAGACTAATGTGTTTCGAAAAGTTGGTCCACATGGAGGTTGGCTGGTTTGATGAACCTGATCACTCAAGCGGTGCCATTGGGGCAAGGCTCTCGGCAGATGCTGCATTAGTGCGAGCCCTCGTTGGAGATGCGTTAGTTCAGATTGTTCAGAACATTGCGTCGGCAGTTGCTGGTTTGGTCATTGCTTTTGCTGCAAGCTGGCAACTAGCGCTGATCATCCTCATCTTAATCCCTCTAGTTGGTGTCAATGGATATGTTCAAGTGAAGTTCATGAGAGGATTCAGTGCAGATGCAAAGGTAATCATTATTACAGTGTTGTTTTCTTTTACTGCTCACTAAATAAAATAGCTTGAGAGGTCTGTATATATTCCCAATTCATAATTTTGAGTCCTAGGTTCAAAGAATTGAAAACAGAAAGGCCGTCTTCAAAATTTCTGATTTACATTCCTTGTAATCTTCAATGACATAAAAAGGTTCCGCCACGGTTTCTGTTATCTTGCAAATAATCTCGATTATCCGTGACCGTATTAATCTATATGTTTGCAGATGATGTACGAGGAAGCAAGCCAAGTAGCTATTGACGCGGTTGGAAGTATAAGGACCGTTGCTTCTTTCTGTGCCGAAGAGAAGATGATGCTTCTTTACAAGAAGAAATGTGAAGGCCCCAGGAGGACAGGGATTCGACAAGGACTGATCAGCGGAATTGGGTTCGGCATGTCCATCTTCCTGCTGTTCTGTGTGTATGCAACAAGTTTCTATGCAGGAGCTCGACTAGTTCAGAACGGCAAAACAACGTTTTCGGATGTCTTCAGGGTATGACAGATTTTCTTTGAATGCTACATAGTGTTTTCTTAGGAATTTCTCAGAATTATGATTGCCTTTCCCTTATTTGGCCGGAGGATTGCTGTTGAAACTGGTTTCTGTTAACGCTGGCAGGTTTTTTTCGCTCTGACCATGGCAGCCAGTGCAATTTCACAATCAAGTTCCTTCACTTCCGATTCCACCAAAGCGAAAGGGGCTGTTGCTTCCATTTTCGCAATAATAGACCGCAAATCCAAGATAGACCCAAGTGATGAGTCGGGGACAAAATTAGACAATGTGAAGGGAGAGATTGAGCTTCGCCATGTCAGCTTCAAATATCCCTCTAGGCCAGACATTCAAATATTCCGTGATCTCAGCCTGGCCATTCACTCTGGAAAGGTTAACAGTTTGGACTTTTTATCTGATGCCAAACTTTATATATGACTTCCTCAACTGAGCATTGAATTACGAGAACAACACTAGTGTTTTGATCACTTGAACATAAGGAATAAAAGTTTGACAATTACACGATTGTTCCTCTCAGACTGTTGCTTTGGTCGGAGAAAGCGGGAGTGGAAAATCGACAGTGATAGCGTTGCTGCAGCGCTTTTATGATCCTGATTCCGGTCACATTATGCTCGACAGAGTGGATATTCAGCAGCTGCAACTCAAGTGGTTGAGGCAGCAAATGGGTCTGGTCAGCCAAGAACCGGTTTTATTCAACGAGACAATTCGTGCCAACATAGCTTATGGAAAGGATGGAGATGCGACCGAGCAAGAAATACTCGCCGCATCAGAACTGGCAAACGCCCACAAGTTCGTTAGTGGACTGCAACAGGTTAGACAGTCGTTGCTTATTCCGTGTACTTGACTTACATTTGCTTTCAAATGGGCTTATCTGATTTTTTCTGTACGAATTCAATGTTCAGGGATATGCTACTATGGTTGGTGAAAGAGGGGTCCAGTTGTCAGGCGGTCAGAAGCAACGAGTGGCTATTGCTCGCGCTTTAGTTAAAAGTCCTAAAAATTTTCTGCTTGACGAGGCTACGAGTGCACTGGATGCAGAATCTGAGAAGGTGGTTCAAGACGCGTTGGACCGCGTCATGGTGAACCAAACTACACTCGTGGTGGCTCATAGGTTGTCCACAATCAAGAACGCGGACGTGATCGCGGTAATTAAAGACGGAGTCATCGTCGAGAAAGGAAGGCACGAAACTTTGATCAACATTAAGGATGGTCTCTATGCATCCTTAGTTGCCCTACACACCGGTAGCAGTCCCACGTAGCTCATTAGTCTTGAGTTTGTTGAAACTCTTATACAATTTGATGTCAGAAATGGAAATGCCTTGCACTCAAAGCTGCACAGCTCTTTTTTTTCAAGTGAGTGGACATTAGTGTTGAGCAAAAAGCCAGGCGACACCTAGAGTTGACAATTCATGGTTTGGGTTCACTGTCCCTTATGGGGAGAATGTCAAAGGTTCAGGCTTTCGACAAAATGACGTCGACCTTTCGTATTTGCTCATCTTGCTCGTTAAGGTTGAGATGGTTCCTCGGTCAATGAAAGGACCAGCGCAACCACCAAGAAGAAACTTCGGAAGCAGACAGGGAGATGGGAAGACAAATATACGAGAGAACAATTTTAAAACTTTGATTTCTGACCTGGATTAGCATGGTAAAAATCAGCATCATAATCTTCATAACATAGCACCTTTGTCTTGACCGGTGTTCCCATAGAAACGCCTTGCCAGCTAGTCAGCTACCAAACCCTCACGTCTTCTTTCTCATTCTTTTCGCTTCGGTTTTATGGTCCAAATGGCAAGTAATAATGCGATCTCAAATGGAGCTCGATGACGAGGCCGAACCATAGTTGGTCCTTGCAATTTTGATTTAGCATGGAAATTTGCCATAATGGAACCCCTTGGCTTGGCATTTTAGAGTTACCATGTTCAATCCACAATGGTTGAGATAGTCGTTCAGTCTTAGCTGGAATCAGATGAACATGTTCGGACACAGCTCTACTCCAGAGATCTTGTCATATCATCCAAAAAGGAAAGTCAACACAAGTGAGACCAACTGCTCGTTAGAACCATAAGAGATGAAACTGAATCTTTTCTTCACTTCCTTTGTTTTTGTCAGCTAGTCTGTGTCTTCTTCACTTTCATCACTATGCGAAACAAGACAAGATTTGGGGAGGTCACAGGTCTCGTTAGTACCATCACTGTTATTTTGGGACAAATAATGTATTAGACAGGGAAAATTATCCAAAAAGTCCTAAACCTATTGCACTTTTACTAATTCAGTCCTAAACTTTTTGCTAATTGAGTCCATCCCGCCAATTTTGACCGGAAATCGTTGATAAGACGGTCGGCGCTAACGTGAACAATTTTTAATATTTTTTAAATGTTTTTTTCTTTTTTTTTTCTTTTCTCCTTCTTCCTCCTCTAGCCCTAGCCGGTCGCCGGCCTCTAGCGGAGCTCGCTCTCGCATAGCCATGGCGAGGCCCAACCTCGCCAGATCTTGTGAGGCTCGCCTTGCCCAGCGACGGCAAGGTCGAGCCTCGCCATAGTTAGGCAAGACTCACCCTCGCCGGTGGCCGACGGGGGTGAGCTCCACCAGAGACCGGCTAGGGCTACAGGAGGAAGAAGGAGGAAAAAAAAAAAGAAAAATTATTAAAAATTATCCACGTCAGCGCCGACCGCCCTACGTGGCACAACTGGCTTCCGTGTTGGCCAAAATTGGCCGGATGGACTCAATTGGCAAAACGTGAAAAGGTTTAGGACTCAATTAGCAAAATTGAAAGATTTATGAATGAATTGGCAAAAGTGCAATAGGTTTAGGACTTTTTGGACAATTTTCCCTGTTAGCCAACATTGTTTAGATCCAATCATGCTGACTTCACATTGCCAGAGAGTCACATGGGACGGTTTATATTAAAATATCACCGCGTCGGATTTTCGGTCTCACAAATCGCCGATGGCACTGAAGTGATTTTTTTTTATTTATCAAAATGGCACTCAAGTAATCGTTCGAAAAGTTTTGGCACTAAAGTAAGTGTCATATGAAAGTCAAGTCTTAGAACTTGTCAAGTTGATGCAAACAAATTCCTCCGTGAACTCCATCAAAATTGATGACGGTAGATTATGACCCCGAATCAGAAAATAGGTCAATTTTTTTTAAATCGAAAAAATAGTCAAAACTATAAAAAGAAAAAGAAAAAAGGACACGACGAACTAGGGGAAGAAATCTTGCTTGCTCCATCTCCAGTAACTTTTTGCCTCCAACCCGATCATTTGGCGATGCTTGGTTAGAACTTTTCATGGTTTTTCTGAATTGAGTTCTTGAGATGGAAATTTGAAACACTAAACAGAAGCTCTACTGGCTGTTACTGGAGAAAGATCGTTGCAAGAGTTGCGTAGATTGGATCTTGGGAATGGGAAGCCATTTTGTCAATATATAATTGACCTGTTAGTGACACGGCTGATAAGGAGGATGTCTTCTCTATTTCTTGGTTCCGAAGAAGAGGGGTAAGAGGTGTGTTCACGTTAACAGTGTGTCTGCGTACACGCTCCAAAAAAAGGTTTCCCAAGTCCGAGAGACAGCCATTTCGATCCGGGCTCGACCAAGTCGAAGACATTGACGGAAACGACGCTCATGTGCATGAACGGGGGGCTTTGCCGGTGCCAATGGAGCACCGAGAGACCGGAAAAAGGCAGGCTATTGAAAGGTTGTATTTTGTACTCTTGATACACGCTGAAGCTTTACCTTTCATCACATTCAACACAACAGTGCAATCGAATCAAAGTGGCACGTCGTGAGCAATCCACCATAATTCGACTACAAAACAGTTTGTGCAACACATATCGATTCAGAAATCTCCCAAGACGTAGAGCCTGTTAATGCTAAACTTAAGGGACCATCTTGCCAACCAAAGCTCGGCTCCGAGAATTAATCAGCAATGCAAAATCCGTGTTAAAGCCTCCTGGTTTAGGACCCGGATCGGCCCTCACATCAATGATCGGAAAGGAAGAGTGAAAGAGTGCAAAGCATATGTGCATCACATCATGTCTATTGCGGTTGGAAGTTATACCTTTTCGTATGGTGGAGATAAGGATGATGTATGAACACATTTATGCTACTCATCTTCACTTTCTTACAAAAAATAAGGTTGTTTGTATTCAATGGATGGCATCCGTCTTCGATTGACGTTTATCTTCCCGTCCCGGGCTGCCGGCGTAGCCGAGCCACCAGCTCAAACGATACCTTTCAGTTTCTCCACAAACAACTCTCCCTTAGCCGGTTCCACCAACTCCACTCCATGATAATCGCCTTCGCCGCTGAAAATGCCCATCACGTCCACGCCCTTCGCCTCCAGCTCCACCGTCAACTCCCTCTACTGATCTATCAGCGGATTTCCGCCACTGCCCGCCACCACCGCTCGCCACCCCTTCGCTCTCATCCTCTCCCACTCCTCTGATCTGTCCACAGACGTCGGATTGCAATACTCGTGGTCCCGGTCGGCACCAACCGGCAGCGCCAGCTCCCACAGCAGATCCGCCACGTTCACCGGTGGGATTGAGTTGTTGAACAGCCTCACTTCCGACTCGGTCCTCCGGGACCTACCAAAGAAGGGGTGGTGCAAGATCAGGCCTCTGATCACCAAAGGCTCCAGATCGGCCGCGGCGGTGGCGGCGCACGCGCGCAGCCCCACGTGATATGCGATGTTCCGTCCCGCGCTCGTGCCCATCAGGAAGCACCGCGAGAAGTCAACCCGTTCGCTAAGCCACTCGTCCTCGGCGGTCCTGACCCAGCGGAGGGCCTACACGGCATCGTCGTAGGCCACGGGGAGGCGGTGCTCCGGAGCGAGGCAGTAGCCGGGGGAGACGAAGACGGCAGAGAGGCTCGCCGCCATGAGGGAGCAGAAATTGTGGTTTATCGCGGAGGACGGGGACATGAGTACGAAACCGCCGCCGTGGTAGTACACGATGAGCGGTAGCTTTTGGTCGGGCGTTGGTGATGAGGGAGGCACGTAGATCCGGGCCCAAGTGTTGTGGGTCGGGTTGAGGGGCACGGCCTTGGTGCGGACGGCGAAGGGGTGGTCGGGATCGGGCACGGCGGGGGTAGTTGGGTCATCGAGGCCGCGCGTGACCGTGCCATCCGGGTTGAGGACGATTTTGAGGTAGCCGTAGGCATCGACGACCGGAGCTAGATCAAGATCCGGATGTTGACCGGCCATGGTTGCTTTGCTCGAGGAGGGACTGAAGAAAGAAATGGGAAACTGTTCTTTGTTGCCGTCCGAGTTCTCTGAGAGTCAAAAACTCAAAATGCAGTCGAGCGTGACAGCCATGATGAGCATTGGCCTGACCTAGTGACGTTGTGTATGGGCCGTCATGAAATTAGCTCAACTCTTAAAACAAAGAAACTTATATAAAGGATTAAGCATAAGGTACTCAAACAAGTTCGATGGCGACATTCCACGGATGCTAATCTGTCGGACGACCGAACTCTGGCAATATACATGGTTTGCTCTTTGCCCCGACCCCATTGCATCACCTGCAATATAAGCTAACTTTAACGAGAATTCGAGAGAGACAATGTTGTGTATCAATCTGAAACTTGGTCCTTTGGGTTTCGATGTTTCTGCAATTGAGTTCTTTGAATTTTACTTCCGTGTAATCGAATCCCCTAACCTTTCTCGACTGGTGCAATCAAGTGCATTGTTCACTTATTGCAATTGATACTGTCGAATTACAATTTCCTTTCCTCTTGTTTTTTTTCATTTAGTTTCTGTTCATTTGGTACCGAATTAGCATCACGTGCCATTTTTTGTCACATAAGCAATGCCTCGTTATGAATTTATCCGACCATTTAATAAGAGTATTTTGATTACTTAAATTGAGTAATCCGAACGCAGGTGTGTGTGTTTTCCAATCCAACAATGGAGACTCCGATAAAAGTTGGCGTTCTTCATTGGCCGGGCTTCTGATCACTCCAATTTCTATTTCTTTCTTTTTTCTTATTTTAATATGAGTTGGGCTTTTTCCACTCTTTTTTTTTTAGCTTACATACTCCCTTCTTTTATTTTATGACTATACTATCCCTTGTGGGGTCCACTACTTTTATTATAACTTTGTAAAAATGGTTCTTTTTTTTTATCTGGTCTAACTCTTTTCATTTATGCAAGTCCACTTTCCTTTTCTTTCTTTCCACGCTCTTGACGTCTCATTTCTTAGCTCATGCAAATCGTCTCTCTATATTCTCTCTTGTATACCGTTCTTTTCTTTCTATGTCTCCCTACTTCTCAAGTCACAGGGCATTGAGACAAGGTTTGCTTGCATTCACACTAATAAAGATCGAATTCACAAAAACAAGGTAAGCATACATTGGCAACCCCAACAAGTCCCACAAAAAGATCATCATCCATATCTTCGCCGGTTGCGGACCCACCTCATTGGGTTGTCAAGTTCTCCATATGGACGTCCCACCGCCGCATCGTCAGCTTGTCCCGAGACAATGAGTAGGACATGTCTGGCGAGTTCTCAGGCCAAAACGATTACATCAACTACACATTCCTCATGCTCAGCCACGCTAGACAACTAGCCAATGGCGAAGTTGAGTGCCAAACACATTTTCGAACTTCAAACGCTTCAAGGGGGGTGCAAATCGACCTGGTTCGGCTCCGAAACGGGGTGGTCGGGCGACAGGGGTCGCCATGGGAATGGTGGGATGAAGATGGACCATGGCTTGTCCCTAATGAAACTCTTTAGGAGCCAAAGTAGGGACTTCAACCCCACGTGGTGGCAATTCGAAAACAAAGGAGGTATGGATTTAGGAATGCATATTGGCAAGAAGACCGGGAGGATGCTTATAATGGTGGAATGAACATGGAGGATTTCATAGGCAAACCTTGGAAGCCTCTCACTCGAAAGATCAAGGTACCATCAAGTGTTCTTAGCTTCCATAGTGCAAGAAGAGGCTATGTGCGGCGGAGAAAACTAGCTTGTTGGGGAGGTCAACGTTGAGCCCAATGTCGGAGCCAGAGAAAGTGTAGTGGATTATGGGGTTGGCATCATATATATTCAACTTCTTAATGTCTTGCAACTTCAGGAGTAGGGAGGTGTAGAAAGAAGAGAATGGCCTACAAGAGATAAAACAGAGAGACGATTTGCAAGAGCCGAGAACTGAGACGTCAAAGGTGTGTAAAGAAAGAAGAAGGAGGAAAGTGAGACCCGTAAGGTCAAAAAAAGAAGAAACATTGACCAAATAAAAAAAAGTGACCACTTTTGTACAATTGCAACAGAAATAGTGGACCTCATAAGTGATAGCATGGTCAAACCACAAAAATAAAAAGAAGAATGTTTAAGCCAAAGAAGGAATAAAAAAAGCACGGCCCTTAAATTAAGTCAGAAAAACTCCATGAAATCCAGAAAGAAGTGACGACTCTTAACAAATCATAGGTGGCGATGTCTTATAGGAGGAGGAGGAGGAGGAGGAGGGCGAGGAAGACTGTCGGGGGCATGTCATTAGGTGATCCACTTGACACCATATATCGTAAAATATATTTTTCTTCGTTGTACGATATTGTATAAAGACTATATGTTGGGGTGTGATTCATAGTCCCCATCAACAGGAAGACATGAAGATCCCGCTCCAGCAGGGGTCGTAGGGGGTAACGTCCCGAGCCGTCAAATGGTTTTCATAGCTTGGGCTCGTATTTTATTAGTAGTTTGGGTTTAGGTCTATAAATAGCTAGTAAGTGGCCTAGGGCTTTCTCGGCCCCTAGGTTTTTTTTCTTGTGCCGCCTACTTATAATCTATTTCTGTTGTAATTGAGAGTTATATAGAGAGGTGAGAGGTGCTAATTATTGTAGAATCCTCCACTGTAGCCTTAGTTTAAGGGTAAATCAGAATAAAATGTTGTCTCGATTTCTCTTTCTCGCATTTACTTTTTATTTCGTTATGTCTATGCTCCTAATCCTAACATTATAATGTTTGATCGTGATCGAGTACACATAATATAATAAAATGCATTTTTTTTTTCAATTTTGCAACGTTGCACCACCATTAACTATGTTTTATTGTTATCAATTGCAACACATTATAAAATATCAGGAAATGTAAATTCTTTTGTATCACAATTACAATAGTATACAAAGGATTTACGACGTTATGTTATAAGTGCAAACATTTTAATATATGAATATTTTATTTAGTTCATTGTCACGGTTTGTCGTAACCAAGCGAATGCCATAATTTTTTTTTTTTCATTTTGTGAGGTATAGACATTTTGACATTTACTAAGGGTACAACGTCATAGAGTATGAATATTTTTTTTTTATGAACATTATGACGTTTCTCTATAACAAAGGGCAAAATTGAGTAGAAGACTGAAAAAAGGATTATACTACAAAATTGTTATAGAGGAAAGATGGCATGAATAATTTTGTTCTCAGGGAATTGTTTTATTCCCTTGAGAATAATTTTTGGAGAAAATTGCACAAACAATTCCTGAATGTGGTCCATTAACTTTTAATTTACTCAATGTAGTCTCTGAATTTTAACCCAATGTACAATATGGTCCATGAACTTTTAATTTGTTCAATATGGTCCCTGAAATTTTGATACATGTTCTGAATTATATAAAAATGTTCAATGTGGTCCTTCCATTAATTCAAGTTCAGGGACTATATTGAAGATGTACTAAAAGTTCAAAAACCAGATTGAACACGTTAAAAGTTCAAAGACCACATTGAACATTAAGTTAAAGTTTAAGGACTATATTGAACAAATTAAATGTCCAGGGACCACGTTGAACATTGAGTCAAAATTCAGAGATTGTTTGGCTCATTATTCCTAATTTTCGAGTACCAATTTTTTTTTATTCATTTACTCAAATGTCCAGTTGCCTGTGGTTTTTGAAGTGGTGCAAATGGCTCAAAATGCGCCATTTGTTTGGAGCAATGACGGCACCGTTGTGCTTAGCAATTAGCATTGCTCCAAAAGTTATGCCTTTTCATACGGTGGAGAACAAGATGATGGATGAACACGTTTATGCTATCGTCTTCACTTTCTTGCAAGATAGAGGGTTACTTGGTGAGAATATAAATCTCATAAAGACACAAGACATAAAGACAACGCGAAAGAAACCGAAGGCAAATGACAAACCATCACTCACACCATGCACTCCCGTCTTCGATCGCCGTTTATCTCCCCGTCCCCGGCCTCCGGCCTAGCCGAGCTGGCAGCTCGAACGATGCCTTTTGGTTTCTCAAGAAACTACTTTGCCTTAGCCGGCTCCATCATCTCCATCACATGATAATCGCATTCGCCTTCGAAAAGGCCCACCACTTGGAAGCCGAGAAAATTAACAAAAAAGCATTAAATCTATTGCATTTTTGTCAATTTAATACTAAATATTTTAATTATGTCAATTGAGTTGTAAATATTTTCACATTTTGCCAATTTAGTCCATCAAATTAATTTTGGTCAGAAATCATTGCATGGTTGTATTTTTCATTTTTCAATACGCTAAAGCTTTACCTTCCTATCACGGGAGCTGAAGCTCCAATATGTGTGAGTTCAACCGAACAACGATGTAAAAGAATCGAAGTGGCATGTCGTGAGCAATCCACCATAACTCAACTACAATATGGTTCACGCGACTCATATTGATTCAGAAATCTGTTAATGCTAAACTTAAGGGACCGTCTTGCCAACCAAAGCTCGACTCCCATCAATGATTGGAATAGAGAAAGAGTGCAAAGAAAAGTATCACATCAGGTCTATTGCGATTGGAAATAATGCCTTTTTTCATATGGCTGAGATAAGGATATGATGTATGAACACATTTATGCTACTCATCCTCACTTTCTCACGAGATATAAGGTTGTTTTTATTCGATGGATGGCATCCGTCTTCGACCGCCGTTTATCTTCCCGTCCCGTGACTGCCGGCATAGCCGCGCCGCCAGACGGCTTAAACGATACCTTTCAGTTTCTCAACTAACAACTCTGCCTTAGCCGGTTCCATCACCTCCACTCCATGATAATCGCCTTCACCGCCAAAAATGCCCACCACGTCTAAGCCCTTCGCCTCCAGCTCCGCCGCCAACTCCCTCTGCTGATCTATCATCGGATCTCCGCCACCAGCCGCCACCACCACTCGCCACCCTTTTACTTTCATCCTCTCCTACTCCTCCGATCTGTCCACAGACGTCGGATTGCAATACTCATGGTCCCGGTCGGCGCCGGCCGGCAGTGCCAGCTCCCACACCAGATCTGCCCCGTTCACCGGCAGGGTTGGGTTG